TCTTCATCCGGATTTTTTAACTCTTCGTCTTTATCTCTCTCCCTATCTTTATAATCCACATGAAGCTCTTACCATTTCAGGATCCCTTCTTATAGCCAGAAGATGTTTTTTGTAAGCCTCATGCTAACCACAAGGAATTTGTAACAGACTTACCAAAAATAATAACCAAGGAATCAAAGTACATCACTAGAGAAAGCCACAGACCCACAAATGAACAGTAAACAAGAGGGAGAAAGAAAAGAAAGAGAAAAAAAGGACACAAAGAAGGAAGGAAGGAGGTAAAGAAAGAAGGAAGGAAAATAAAAATAGAAAACAAATAGCAAAATGGCAGTAGGAAGCCCTTGCCTAGCAATAGTCGCCCTACGTGTAAATGAACTAAATTCTCCAGTTAAAAGACACAGAGTGACCAAATGGATTAGGAAAGGAAACTCAACAGCATGCTGCTTCCAAGAAATTCTAATGACACATGTGGACTGAAAGTTAAAGGGTAGAATGAGACATTGTACACAAACTGTACCCAGAAGAGAACAGGAGTAGCCATATCTCTAACAGATAAAATAGATTTCTAAGTCAAAAGCAACAAAAAGCAACCAGGAAGGTCATTATGTAATGATAAGTGGCTCAATTCAACAAGAGGAAATGACACTTGGAAGTGTATATTCACCAGTATTGAAGAACCCAAATATGCACAGTGAATCTTAGTAGGCCTAAGGGAGAGACTCCAGTACAACAATAGTAGGAGATTTTCACACTCCAGTTTCAAAAATGGACATGAGATGAAAATCAACCAACAGCAGAATTAAGTCACATTGTGCCCTCAATGAATTACACCTACCAGAGGTCTATAGAACTTTTCACCCAACACCTACAGAATACACATTCTTCTCAACAGCACATGGAACATTCTCCAGGATAGATCATATGACCACAAATCAAGTCTCAGCAAATTTAAAAGAATAGAAATCACATTGAATAACTTTTCTGATCAAGATCAAGAAAGCAAGAAATAGATGACAAAAAGAGCTTCAGAAACTACACAAATAAGTGAAATTGAACAATGTACTGCTGAACAATAAATGCATCAAGAAAGAGATCTAGAAGGAAATTAAAAATTTCTTGAAGTAGATGAAAATGGAAGTACAATATAACAATGACTACAGGATATAGCAGTACCAACAGGGGAGTTTATAGCAATCAATGCTTGCATAAAAAAAAAAAAAAAACAGAAATATCTCTTATAAACATGTATCACTGTACTTCAAGGAATTAGAAGAGCCAATAAAATCCAAAATTTGTAGAAGGAAAGAAACTCAGAGTACAAATAAAAGACATACATACCAAAAAATACAGGAAAAAAAGATGAAACAAAGAGCTGGTTGTTTTAAAAGATAAACAACATTGATAAACCCTTAGGTAGATGACCAAGAAAGAGGGTTCAAATACCAGCCCTGGAGGTGAGGATGGAGACATTACAACCAACACAACAAAAATGCAGAGGACTGTTAGGGATTACTGTGAGCAACAAATGGCAACAAATTCAATAACCTAAAAGAAATGGACAAATCCCTGGACACACATCCTTATCAAAATTGACTCACAGAGAAACAAAATATCTAAACAGATCAATGATTAGCAGAGAGACTAATTAATAATAAAAAATTCCTGTCAAAGAAAAGCCCAGGACCAGATGTCTTCACTGCCAAATTTTATCAAACTTAAAAACAAAAACAAACATCAATCCTTCTTGAATTATTTTTTAAAATAGAGAGGAAGGAATTCCTCCAAGTTCATTCTACGAGGCCACATTTCCTGGATAACAAAACCAGACAAGGAAACCAAAACAGCAGCAGGAAAAGAAAGCTACAGGTGTTGTTATGCACTAATATTGAATCACCTGAAGAAGAAATCAAGAAAGCAATGCTATTCCCAATAGCTACCAAAGAATACTGGGACTACACTTAACCAAAGAGGTAAAAGAGCTCTACAATGAAAACTGTAATTCACTGATCAAATAAATAGAAAGACATCCTATGTTCATGGATTGGAAGAATCAATGTCATTAAAAGTGCCTCCCACCCAAAGTGATTTGCAAATCCAATGCAATCTTATCAAAATCCCAATGACATTTTTCACAGAACTAGAAAGAACACTACTAAAATATGTGTGAAACCACACTAGAGCCTGAATAGTCAATTCAATATTGAGCATGAAGAACAAAGCTGGAGGCATTACACTACTTAACCTTAAAATATATTATAAGGATACAGCAATTAAAACAGCATGGTATTCATAAACCAATGGAACAGAATAGAGACCCTGGAGATGAACCTACGTATAGATAAATGTTCTTGGACGAAGATGCTAAGAATGTATATTGGGAAAAGAATAGCCTTTTTAATAAATGGTGCTAGGGAAATTGGATAGCCACAAGCAGAAGAATGAAATTAGAACCCTCTCTCTTACCATGTACAAGAATCAACTCAAAATAGATTAAACACCTAAACATGAGACCTGAAACTTTGAGGCTATTAGAAAAAAAAATATATGAAAAACACTTCAGGATGCTTGAATGGACAAGGATCAGATCCCAAAAAGATGGAGAATAAAAGCAAAAATAAACAAATGGGATTTCATCAGAATAAAGAGCCTTTGCGGGGCCAGCACTGTTGCATTGTGAGTAAAGCCACCATCTGCAGTGCCGGCATCCCATATGGGCACGGGTTCGAGTCCTGGATGCTCCACTTCTGATCCAGCTCTCTGCTGTGGCCTTAGAAAGCAGTAGAAGATGGCCCAAGTCCTTGAGCCTCTGTACTCACATGGGAGGCTCCAGGCTCCTGGCTTCGGATTGGCACAGCTGTTGGCCGTTGCTGCCAATTGGGGAGTGAACCAGTGGATGGAAGATCTCTCTCTCTCTCTCTCTCTCTCTCTCTCTCTGCCTCTCCTTCTCTCTGTGTAACTCTGACTTTCAAATAAATAAGTAAATCTTAAAAAAAAAAAAAAGAGCCTTTACACAATAAGAGAAACAATCAAGAGTGAAGAAACAACCTAAAGAAAGGGAGAAAGATATTTGCAGGATGCATATCTGATAAGGGGTTAGTATCCAGAATATATAAGGAACTCAAAACAACTCAATGATAGAAAAACAAATAACCCAATTTTTAAATGGACAGTAGTCTAAGTAGACATTTCTCAAGGGAAGACATACACATGGTCAGCAGGTACATGAAAAACTAATCAGCATCACTTATTGTCAGGGAAATGCAAATGAAAACCACAGCGAAATATCACCTCACTTCAGTTAGACTGGCTACTATCAAAAAGACACAAAAGCAGGTGCCGGCAAGATGTGGAGAAGAGGGAGTGCTTGCACACTGCTGGTGGGAATGTAAATGTGTACAGTCATTGTGGGAAGCGGACAAATGTTCCTCAGAAAAAACTAACACCAGATCTACCACAGGACCCAGCAACCCCACTCCTGGGTATATATCCAAGAGAACAGAAACCCATCTGTCAAAGAGACACCTGCACTCCATGGTCACTGCAGCACTATTCACAGCAGCCAAGAAATGCAAACAACCTAAGCTCACCTCCGTTCATCCACTGATGAATGGATAAAAAAAATGTGGCACATTTGGGGCCGGCACTGTGGCGTAGTGGGCCAAGCCTCTACCTGCGGTGCCAGCATCCCACATGGGCGCCAGTTTGAGTTCCGGCTGTGATCCAGCTTTGGTCTGGCCCAGCTTTGGCTATTGCAGCCATTTGGGAATGAACCAGTGCATGGAAGAATTCTCTGTCTCTCTCTCTGCCTCTGCCTCTCCCTCTCTGTAACTCCACCTTTCAAATAAATAAATCTTTTAAAAAGAAATAATAAATGCTCAGAAGGATAAATAATGGAACCTCATGTAGCACCCCATAAACATGCACAATTTTATATGTCTGCTAAGATTTCTCTAAGATTTATTTGAAAGACAGAGTGACAGAGAGGGAGAGAGAAACGGAGAGACAGAATGAGATTTTCCATCTGCTGGCTGACTCAGCCACAACAGCTGGGCCAGGCCAGCCTCAAGCCACGCACCTGGAACTTCATCTGGGTCTCCCACCTGGGTGGCAGGGCCCAAAGCACATGGGCTACCTCCTCAGCTTTCTCAAATGCCTTAGCAAGGCGCTGAATCAGAAGTGGAGCAGCAGGGACTCGAACCAGGGCTCTGAAATGGGAAGCCGGCATCGTGCGCATTGGCCCTGCTATGCCACAACACTGGCCCCCCAAATTTTTTTTTTAAAAGTAAAAAATCTTAAAAATGCATTGAGCTATTGTTTTTCACCTATCAGACTGGCAGAGATTCAAAAGTTGAATAAATTTATTCTGCTGTCAAGGGCAGGGGGTAATAGACATCCTCTTACTTTATTAGTGTGAAAATAAATTGTGGCCAGTGCCGCAGCTCACTAGGCTAATCCTCCACCTGCAGTGCCAGCACTCAGGGTTCTAGTCCTGGTTAGGGCACAGGATTCTGTCCCAGTTGCTCTTCTTCCAGTCCAGTTCTCTGCTGTAGCCCAGGAGGGCAGTGGAAGATGGCCCAGGTGCCTGGGCCCCTGCACCCACATGGGAGACCAGGGGAAGCACCTGGCTCCTGGCTTCAGATCGGTGCAGCGTGCCGGCTGTAGTGGCCATTTGGGGGGTGAACCAACGGAAGGAAGACCTTTCTCTCTGTCTCTCTTTCTCACTGTCTAACTCTGCCTGTCAAAAAAGAAAGAAAGAAAGAAAGAAAGAAAGAAAGAAAGAAAGAAAGAAAGAGAGAGAGAGAGAGAGAGAAAGAAAGAAAGAAAGAGAAAGAAAGAAAGAAAGAAAGAAAGAAAGAAAGAAAGAAAGAAAGAAAGAAAGAAAGAAAGAAAGAAATTGTGCAATGCTTAGAGAGGGTAAATTGGCAATATTTATCAGAATTACAAATGCAGATACCCTTTACCCTTTGACCTAGTATTTCTAATTCTGAGAACTTCTCCAGATATAGATTCATGGGAAGAGATGATATAAACACAAGGCTGTTCCTTGCAGCGTAATTCAAAACAACACAAGAGCGGAACCACCCACATGAGAAATTGTTCCAGGTACTGAAATAGAAAGATCTGTCCAAAGAGTTTAAGTGAAAAGAGAAATTGATGTGTTGTGTTTTATTGGGGGGGGGGGGGGCGGGGAGGGGAGTAAAAACAGCTCCACCCATGTTTAGTATGCAAAACACATTTGGGAGGACACAAAAGAAAGAAATAAAAGTGGAGATCTAAAGGGACGCTGGGGCCCCGGGCAGGCCTGGCAAAGGGTGCCAGACAAGCTGTAACTGTCCTTTCAAAACAGAAGTGTACTCCGTGCCTGTGTCGCTGTACGACTGCATGGGTGCTCGGTCCACTAGAAAGTCAGAGAAAAATCTTTTCAGCAAATAGTAAAACTGTATATCACTAAATGGATGGGAGGTGAGTTATAAATTAGATTAGTTACAGGAAGCATTCTAAGAAGTTATATTGTTGCACTACCTGAGTTCCCGGCCAGTGAAATTTGTATCTTTTCCTGTGCTATGGTACAGAAAGACAGAAGGTTCCAGGTGACCAAATGTAACTTGAAGCTACGAAACTCAGTCCGACAAGCTTCCATTAAGCAAAACTCGCCACCTGCCTTTAGAGGAAGGTCTGACACCTGTGCGGCAGTCAGGACAGCGTACCTGCAACAGAACATGCTGCTTCCTTCCCTCCCACTGCTGTCAACGAGAAGACCGGAAAAAAAGAAAAACCTAAATCCACTGTTTTCAGGCATCCGAGCGAGATGCCCAGTTCACTATGAATTTAAGATGAACAGTGAATCCATTTTTAGAATGAGCATACCTCACGCGATCTTTGAGATTTATTTACGCTGAAAAGTTTTCATTGTGTATCTGAAATTGCCTATTTCACATGTAAGTGTGTGTGCGGTATTTTCTCTGACAACCCTTGCATCCCTGATTGCAGACCTGCCAGAGGTGAGACCTACCCCAGTTTTCTATTTTCAGCAACTTTCTGGACACAAAGCAGGAAGTGGGGCACAAGTCAATGACAAAATAGATCTGGAAAATCCCAAATACATGGAAATACAGAGCACATGCTAACCAAGCAATGGGTCAAGGAAGACATTAGGAGAAAGATTAGAAAGCAGTTTGTATCCGATGATAACAAGCACACAAACTAGGAAAATCAGTGGCCTGAAGATAAAGCAGAGTTAACAGGAAAATACTCAGCTTTGGGGCTGGCGCCATGATGCAGTGGGTTAACGCCCTAGCCTGAGGTGCCAGCATCCCATATGGGCGCTGGTTCGAGACCCGGCTGCTCCACTTCTGATCCAGCTCTCTGCTATAGCCTAGGAAAGCAGTGGAGGATGGCCCAAGTCACTGGGCCCCTGCACCCATGTGGGAGACCCGGAAGAAGCTCCTGGCTCCTGGCTTCGGATCGGTGCAGCTCTGACCATTGGGGCCAATTGAGGAATGAACCAGTGGATGGAAGACCTCTCTCTCTGCCTCTCTCTCTCTCTCTCTCTCTCTTTCTCTGAGTCTCCTCTCTCTAACTATGACTTTCAAATAAATAAATAAATATTTTTTTTTCTTTTTGACAGGCAGAGTGGACAGTGAGAGAGAGAGACAGAGAGAAAGGTCTTCCTTTTTGCCGTTGGTTCACCCTCCAATGGCCGCCGCGGCCTGCGCGCTGCGGCCGGCGCACCACGCTGATCCGATGGCAGGAGCCAGGAGCCAGGTGCTTTTCCTGGTCTCCCATGGGGTGCAGGGCCCAAGCACCTGGGCCATCCTCCACCGCACTCCCTGGCCACAGCAGAGGGCTGGCCTGGAAGAGGGGTAACCAGGACAGAATCCGGCGCCCCAACCGGGACTAGAACCCGGTGTGCCGGCGCCGCAAGGCGGAGGATTAGCCTAGTGAGCCGCGGTGCCGGCTAAATAAATATTTTTTTAAAAGTCCAGCTTTATATGCTCATATTAGGACAGGAGATCTTCTAACACTCATGCCTTAAGAAACCAGGGTCCTAAATAACACAGTCCCAGAGAAAATAGAAGGAAGAAAGGAAATCCAGAATGAAGAGCGATATAGAAAATATGGAAGCAAAAAAGGAAAGTGAATGGAACCAAAAGTTGGTTTTTTGAAAGAACAATAAAAATGATAAATTTCAAGCTAGCCTTTTTGAAGAGGAGAAGTTGGGGATAGGAGAGAAGGGAGATGGAAAGAACAGAATGGAAACTGTTGACGTGGAGAATAAGAGCAAGCAAAAACACGGTTCTTACAGACAGTGAGAGGCTAACAATGGGTACTTTACTACTTCGTGGTAACACCTGGCCATTTACAAGAAATAAGCAAAGTCCTTGAGAAACACCACTTAATAAATTTGTATAACAGGAAATAGAATATATAAATGCTACTGTATCTATTAAAGAAATCAAGTTTTGTAATTTAAAACCTTCTCAAACCAAAAGTCCAAGCCCAAGTGGCTTCACTGATGAATTCTTCCAAGCTTTTATGGAAGAAATAACACCCATGTGACACAAACTCTACCCAAAAGTAGAAGAGAAGGGAATATTCCCCATTTCTTTTTATGAGGTCAACATTGCCCTAGTCTTAGGGACTTTCAGAAACATTCAAAGATTAAAAACAAAGACAGAAAATTATGCAAAAATAGTCCTGATGAACATGAACACAGAAATTGCTTTTAAACATTTTTGTGCCAGTGCCACAGCTCAGTAGGCTAATCCTCCGCCTTGCGGCGCCGGCACACCGGGTTCTAGTCCCAGTCGGGGCGCCGGATTCTGTCCCGGTTGCCCCTCTTCCAAGCCAGCTCTCTGCTGTGGCCAGGGAAGGCAGTGGAGGATGGCCCAAGTGCTTGGGCCCTGCACCCCATGGGAGACCAAGATGAGCACCTGGCTCCTGCCATCAGATCAGCGCGGTGCGCCAGCCATAGCGCACCAGCCGTGGCGGCCATTGGAGGTGAACCAACAGCAAAAGGAAGACCTTTCTCTCTGTCTCTCTCTCTCACTGTCTGCTCTGCCTGTCAAAAAAATAAAATAAAATAAAATAAACATTTTTGCTATCATTATTATTATCAAATCTACTTGGAAGGCAGAGATGGACACACAGACAGCGATCTCTCGTTCTCAAATCTTTGTGAAAGCCAGACACAGGCCAGGCCAAAGCTGGAAGCCGGGAACGCAATCCAGGTGTCCTGCACGGGTGGCAGGGACCCAGCTTCTTGAGCCGTCATCTGCTGCCTGTCAGGTGCACAGTGGCAGGAAGCTGGACTCGGGAGTGGAGCCGGGACTTGAACCCAAGCGCTCCAGGATGTGATGCAAGCTTTTGAAGTGGTGTCTTTTTTTTTTTTTTAAAGACTTACTTATGTGAGAAGCAGAGCTACGACTCGGGGTGGGGGGTGAGGACAGAGAGAGAGGTCTTCCATCCGCTGGTTCACTCCCCAAATGGCTGTAATGGCAGGAGCTCAGCCAATCCAAAGCCAGGAGCCAGGAGCTTCTTCCAGGTCTCCCACACACGTGCAGGAGCCCAAGCACTTGGGCCATCTTCCACTGCTTTCCCAGGCCATAGCAGAGAGCTGGATCAGAAGTGGAGAGGCCAGGACACGAACCAGGGCCCATAACCTACTACGCCACTATATTACTATGCCACTGCACTGGCCCCTTGAAGCAGTGTCCTAACTGCTAGGCCAAATACCTTTGAGCACAGAGATTCTTACGAAAATGTCTGCGTTTAATCCAGCAGTATTTAAAAGGGATGGTACAGTATGGTAGAGCTGGGTTTGTCTCTGGAAGACAAAGTTGAAAAGCAGTATAATTCATCACACTGACAGAAAAAAAGAGGAAAATCATATGCTTGTTTCAATGGATTCAGAGAAAACACTGGAGATGATTCATCACCCATTCACAATCAACGCTCGATGAGCTGGGACAGGGAAGGGGGGCCTCATGCAGGACCAGAGTGGCCCTCACCTGACCCAGCGGAAACCACACATGTTCTTCTGGGCCAGGCTGAAGCCAGGAGCTGGGACCATCCAGGCCTCTCCCACGAGGGTGGCAGAGAGCCAGATACTTGAGCCCCACCGTGCTGCCTTCCACGGTGTACACTAGCAGGAAGCTGCAGTCCAAGTGGGACCAGGACCTGAACCCACGCATTCCAGTGTGGACTGTAGGCCTTTTCATCATCAGGCTAAAAGCTTGGCCCAGTATTTAACTTTTCAAGAGGCTCCGGTCTACCAGTGATGCAGAATGTCCGACCCTGATAACCTATGAGTTGTTCTAACTGAATCATGAAATGAACTGATCCCTTGACAAAGGAAGCGAAGCCACAAGGGCAGAAAGTCTGCTTCTGACCTGCTGATGCGCTGGCTTGCTCAGGTTCCTTCTCTGCACCCGCGTGCAAAGGTGTGGAAGCTGCCCAGGGGAGTGTTCTCCCAGGGGATTGCCCCACCACGGCTTCCCCTCAGGACAGGCAGCTCATCTTCAAGCCTCTTCTTTCTCACCTGGACGTTAAGTAAACATTAACTCACCTCAAAGGTCTCCCCAGGTCTGGTGTTTCACGAACTCTGAGAACAGTGCTGCTTTCTCTCTTACTAGAACGTTTCTTTAAATCTTTAAATTTGTACGCACACAAGTAGCACGTACGAGAGAAAAAAAGGAAACTCCAAACCAAGTAACAGGGATGAAAGATCGACGCCATTGGTATATAAAGACCATCTACAGATACACGATAAAAATATAAGCATACTACAGAAGCATTGTCAAAGGCGTGAAAAGTTAACTCACCCACAGAGCCTTGCAAGTGGTGTCCATACATGGGAAGATGTTTGGCTTCACTGGACATCAGAAAAATACAACTTTTAAAATAATACTTTTTAATATGAAAAAGCAACACACTACAAGAGTTAGGAGTGGGGCTGGTGTTGTGGTACAGTAGGTTAGACAGCAGCCTCTGACACCAGCATCCCAAACTGAAATACCAGTTCCAGTCAGGGGCTCCGCTTCCAGGCCAGGCCCCTGCTAACGCACCTGGGAAAGCAGCAGAAGTGGCCCAAGCGCCTGGGCCCCTGCCCACTGTGTGGGAGACCCAGATGGAGTTCAA